TTCTGTGAGCTTAATAGATAGATCGTTACTTCTGATTTTGTGTTGCAAAATTTTCCCTCCATTTGGCAGAAAGCAGCTGCTGGAAGCACTGTTGGCTTCTGGGTAGTGTAGTTCTTTTGACTGGTGTTACAGTATAAGCTTATTGAAAGAAAACTACAAAATGGCAGCACTTGTCCAAAGTATTTTTTCATTAACTTTTTATTCCGCACCATCCCAATCATGTGAGCATTATTAAAGTTAACAGTCATTGAAAAACTGTGAAACAGCGAGTCCACAAAAGTCGAACCACAAAATAGCGAGGGTCTACTGTACTGCTGTGTATTTACACTTGGATTTGTTGAGTCAAGCATGGAGACGGTGCTTTGTGTACATTGAGTGCCTACCTGCATTTTAGAGCTGCATATCAATACGTCTGCAAAATTACTGGAGTAAACTCCTTCAATCAGCAACATCTGATATACGGTAGTTCAGGATACAGTAACCTTTTTAATGTTTGATTTTATAGAATAAGTACCTTTAAAAAGTTGATTTGATAAGGTAATAATGAATAGCTATCTAAAAATGTGATAAATCTGTATTTATGTTTAAATATAATGGTTTAAAAATAAATTTTTGTTCAGCTTGTTTCAGGCACATTTTTATTTTATATTTTTTACCGTTTCACTTATTTGGAAAGAGAAATTGTCCCAACTTTTAAAGATGTGGTGTGTTAGCAGTTACAGCAAAGACCACTAAATGAAACAGAATCTGGGACTTACTCATGTAGGTGAAAAATCATGTTTCATTTAATGAGAAAACATCAAGAGTTTTCTATTTAGTAGCATTTCTGATCAAATTTTATACAATAAGATTTCTTTGTGCAGCCCAAAGAGGAGGAAAGGAGGCACAAAGACTTGGAGAGATTGCACGCTTCACATGCTCACACATGCAGTGTCACACATTTCCTTTCCTTCATCCATTAACAGCAGGGTTGGGAGGGAGAGGGTGAGGACTGGGGGGTGAGGCAGCCCCCTCATTATTTGGGCTGCGTTGCTGTGAAAAGCAATGGGATTGCTTTCATTACTGAGCCAAATGAAATAGCAGAGGCTGATTACCCGCGTGACGGAAAGGAGACGAGCTGGATCACTCTTTGTTGGGGAGAAAAAGTGATGGAAGAGGAAAAAAAAGAGAAGAGGAATGAAAGGGGTGGGGGTGAAGCGAGTGAGATGATGGGAGGGAGAGCGAAAAAGGAAAGGAGAGACTGCCATGGCTTTACTTCCCCAACCAGTCTCCAAAACAAGCGTGTGTACGTTTGTGAAAGTCAGACGGTGACATGCAGGGTGGGGGCTGATACAGTCCCATTTTTCAAACAAGCCTCCCTGGGGAGGGATATGAATAATAATGACAGCAGCAGTGCAGCATGTTAAAATCAAACAAGTATATGCTCATTTTCCTCCGGCTTTTTGTCTAACTTCTTGCTTGAGTTCCTCTTTCCCCTCATTTAGATCAAACTAAGGCGTTCTGCGTTTTTATTCTGTTTGGGACAAATCTGTTTAAATCATCCCAATGATTCTGTGTGTATAAACTGTGCAGTGTGTGTTTTTGTGTTTCATATGAGAGTCGGAACATGTCTAATGACAGATCTGTTGTGGCGCTGTAGATTATCTGCTGACAGCAGCTGGTAATCCACTATAAGCTTGGAGGAATGAACACCTGTGGTCACTGCAGCAGTGCCAGATATCATTTTAGGATAACTATCTTTAGGAAAGGCTCAAATGCACGACACACAAGCAGAACAATGAACTAATTCAGCACACACAAATGCCTCTCACATGGGGTATTTTGATATGTCACAGTTGGAAGAACGTGTAAACAATGAAATTAATCTTTGGGTGTTATTTTGCTTCTTTAATTTGAGCATCCTGCTGATGTTCATGGCTCACCAGCGAACAAACAAAACCAACTAAACGAAACAAAAGACCAAAACTTCTAACGTGCCTGCGACATCATATTTTGGTCATAAAAATGAATGCATTTTTGGAAAGAATAATAAAAATGTATTGCAAGAAAAAAAAAACACTGCTGAGATAAACAGTCGTTGAAATATTTGCATGAGCAGTAACAGGAAGTGATGTCAAAGGAGAAGGCCTGCATGTGAACAGAGCGTTATGGCTAACAACACAGACGGTAGAGAAAAATCTGATGCTTTTTATATTTCGATTTACTATCAGAGAAAGGTGAAGAAAAGCCAGTTTAAATAATTTTGTTTCAACAAATAAAGACCCCTTTTCAACAAGTTGATGTCACTTCCTGTTTCGCTTTGACCACGCCAAGTTCAAGAGAAAATATGCCAGTTACAGGACAAGGTGTCATGTACATTATGCCCAATTTCTTAAATATTAAGATGTTTTAAACTGGAATGGGAAACAGACTTGGAGGACTCCATATCAAACTCATTCTGTAGAAAGATCATTAAGAACATTTACTCATGCTCAATCTGTCTGAGGCATGCTGTAGTTCAATTCAAGGTGGTGCACAGGCTGCACTGGTCCAAAAACAAATTGTCCAAGATCAAAGCCAACATGAACCCCGCATGTAATCGTTATAAACAAACTCCAGCAACACTCCTGTTACATTCTGGATCTGTTCCAAACTGCAGACTTTTGGCAATTTATTTTTGACACCTTCTCTGGGATATGTGGAAAAACGGTAAACCCATCATTGCTCATTTCATTGTTAGGGGTGGTCCCAGTGGATACATCCTTAAGCAATTGTGAGAAAGATGTGATTGTTTTTGGCTCTGTCTTGGCCAGGAGACTAATTTTGTACAACTGGAAGGACCCACACCCCCAGCATATGTACCACACCCCCAGCATATGTACATTGGATAAGGGAGGTGACGTATCATATCCATATGGAAAAAATAAGATATACCCTGAAGGATTCTGTAAAAAGATTGTGGGACACTTGACAGCCTTTTATGTTGTATGTGGAAAACATGTCAGTACCTGCTTAATTTTTTT